TCCCAGCACCGGACCACCCTTTTTCGTCAGTTGCCTTTCGAAGTGGCAAGTGGGTGCGAATCAACGCAGTTTTCGAAAGATGCCTGATGACTAAACATGAAGCAAGCACAAAGCCTGTCTTTTTGGCCATTGGAAAAACTACAGTTTGAGATGCCTGTCTTGATAAAGGTGAAAACAGGTGAACCGTTCCAGGTTCTTTGGCGGAGTGAGAATAGGAGACCGGTATGGCCACTGATTCAAACCCACAGCTCGCTCAAGCTTGAGCAGCCCACCAAGACTAACACGCATAAACAAACAGTCAATGAATCGTATACTGTTGGATTGTTGCATCAGCTGAGAAAGCAATGCATTCCGGGACATGAACCCGTGTCCCACAAATACGGGGGGCCATTCCTTAGGGTTTTTTCCAGAATTTGCAGATGGTTTCATGGTGGCTCCCTAAAAAGTTGCAGACAGCCCCCCCCCCCCAAGAATCTTGGGCCGTCCGAGTCCAAAGTGTCCCTTGTGGGATGATCCAAAGTGCCACTGTCCATCTTTGCGGGGCACATCCCAATGTGGCCATTGGTCATAACCTACCAAGAGGGTCCAAGTACTTGATGAGGATGGCTTTTGGGGGGTCAAAAGGGGTCTAAGTTCCTTGGACCCTCTGGGCTATGTGTTTCTCCATTTTGCGGCGGATGAACACCCATGTACCGCCTATTTTGATGTTCATGAGGGGTTTCCTGGGTTTGAACCCACAGCCATGTCTCCCAACGTCCGCGAGGAGACGAACTGGGAGTTTGGCGCTACTTGCTGCATCGAGCCTCTTGTCGCCAATGGAGAGGGGTCTTCCTCGCGGGCAGAGCTTCGGGCCCTTCTTTTCTTTTTGGGAGGGCAACCCCTTTGTTTAGGGTTTCCCAGCCTAGAGGGAAACTTTGGTTGAAAATGGTTGACATATGTTGACATGTTGGGTTTGGTTCTTTCTGTGAACATTCCCAAAGGAATTACTCTGAAAAATGCGAAACCTAGTAGGCATGCCCTCTTTGGCATCGCAAGGAGCAACTTCGGGGAGTTCAAGAGAAAAGCTCAACTTGTATTCCCCATTCTTGTGTTGGAAACATTCCCTGGGACAAGGTGAGGAGTTGGAGCATTCAGATCTCAAGTATCGCAGATCTAAGTCTAAGTAGCGACTCAACATTAGCTTTGGAACGGTGCATTTGGGACTACTTGTAGCTTCAACTGGCATCGAACACCTTTGAACATGGAAGCTGACAAGTGGCCCTTGCAGAGAGTTTTATGAACCTTGTTGAGTATGGTCTCGTCTTCCGTGACATGGAGGGACGCACTTACTTTACGAACCTGGAACCTTGACCCTGGGTAGATGAAGGTTAGTAAGGGACGATCCCAGCCATAAATAGCTGCGGCCGCCTTCTTAGTTCTTTACATGGTTCTGGGTGGACAATTTTTGTACCAGGTTTTGATTGTGACTCATTTGTGTCATGTGTTTTTGGTTTTCGGATTCCCGTTGAGCCGGAAACGTCAGGGGCACGCTATGAACACAGAGCCATTGGCAGGGGAAGACATGAGCATCACCCACCAAAACTGCCCTGCTGCGCGTTGTTCCAGGGGACCGACCTCTCTTCTGCAGTGGTTCATGTTTGCACGACTCGCACGGTGAATGCTCGAGAACGCATTGCCTAATGCGGTTCCACATTCTGGCAAGTTCCGTGATGTTCAAAAAAAGACACAAAAGAGTCAGGAAGCGGTTTGGAGAATGATACTTGTCCCAGGAACTTGAGGAAGTCCTTGCTGTCAGGGTGATGATTGTCCCAGCTGCCTCAAGAGCTTTTCTTGCTTGCGACAAGGGAATTTGAACTGGAACGAACCCAGAAAGGCCACCACCCAGCTTTCTGTGGGTTTTCCAATGTCAGACACCATTTCTCAGGAAACACAATCTACATCTCTGGCACCGATTCGCACGTTTTGAAAAGAAATGGACACTAAGTTGTTTTGCAATTGGGCTAAGGTTCCATTTCGCAGAAACCCATCTACACCTCTCGCAGCGAACCGAACGACTTTTGCCTATCGCAGTTTACTGGGTTTCTCAGAGAACTGCAGCTGTTGCACCAAGAAAAGCCAACCTTTCGTCCTTTTTCCTCAACTGCTGTTGGGTTGGATCTTTAGACTTTATTTTTTTCTCTCATATGTCCTTTTAATTATCCAGCAACAAGTTAAGCTGTTTGCTGAGATCTACAGCACCCAAGTTTCGGTTGGATGAAAAAGCCTTCCTTCCGAACTCGATCCACCGACACCATGTCTTAGAAAAGAAAAGGAAAGCAACAAAGAAAAACGGGGGGGGAAAAAAAAGGCATCTCATGCACCGAGAAAGCCTGGGTGTTTCCTCTCTTCTTTTCTTTTTTCGGGTGGCATCGCGTTTGGGCGGGCCTTCCTTCCGTTGGCGTTTGTCGCCTCGATAGGTACGCCTTCATCCACAAGAGCTGGCGCCCCGAGACCAAGAAGTACGACATGAGCACGGCGCCCACGTATCGGGACGCCCCGCTGAAGCGGCTCAGGTAGACCGAATCCGGCGCGAGTCACGGGCGCGCATGCGAATCTCGCAGGCGCCCGAAGTCGGGGTCCCAAGGCGCCGCGGGTTTTTGTAACGGGCGAAGGAATCTGGTGAGAAATTGTTTTTATTTTTTTATTTTTTTAAGAGGAAGACCAAAGGGGGAGGGGGAATCATTTGGTTTTTTTTGGGGGGGTTCTTAGTTTCAAAGCCCTGCTCAAGACCGAGCTTATGGCGACACTATTCAGGGTGAGTCTTTCAATAGAGATCCTTGTTGACTGTACATCCTTCCCTCTGGGATAGACATTTGGGGTCCCCTAAAAGCACATACCCGTTGATAGAGTACCCTGTTTAGATGGCACCAAAAGGAAGCCAACCCAACCAAGAAATGGGGTCCGCAATTTGACTTCCCTGACCTCCAGTGGGGTGGCGCGAGGAAAACCCCACAAATGTGAGCTTGTCTCATAGGCGAACCCACAAGGGTGGTGTCCTGTTGGTTTCCATGGTTTCCTTTTGAACCCAAAAGGGGGGTTCCCCCAAAAGATCCCCACGTGTGCTTCCTTTGGTTTCCCTTAAAACCGACGGACAAAAAGGGCCTCGAACAACGCAGACCAAGTTGAAGCAACACCCAAACTGCTGGCGAAAATATGTACTGAAAAGTATGATGAAAAGCATATAGGCATGCTGAGCTTGAGAGTCAAACCACCCTTCCACGAAAAAACATTTTTGCCTTTTGCTTGGATTCATCGTGGAAGTTGCCGCTTCTCAATTCACCGATCAAGTCCGCGGGCCGAGGATAATTCGAGTTACGCGCGATTGGGTGCATTGTAGGCTTCACTGATTCGGAGCCACAAGAGAGGTGAAAAATCGAGGATCGTCATGCGGCTCATGCGATTCGTGACCTCGTGACCTCGGTTTTGGGTTTGCGGTTTGCTGTGTTGGCTGACCTGCCTGGATCAAAACCATCATACCGTGGATGGGCGAAATCTATTTCGCCACCTGCACGATTGCGCCTGCACAAAGATCGAGGCGGCGCTTTCGAAGGCGCGTGTAGTGCGCTCGGCCGAGAAGGTCCGTGAACGAGAAGGAACCCAAAGCCCAGAATTTGTAGAGGAATATATGGCTGTGGCTCAAGAGTAGGTACCCAAAATGGAGCCCCAGGGAATGGGAACTGGTGGTTTATTTTGACCCAGACCCATATGGGTGTGGCTCAAAATGTCAGCGCCGGGGAACCTTAAGTTTTAGTCAGTTGGTTCCATTTACCGTGCCATGTCGGTATATTGTTTGAGCCACAGCCATGACATTAAGTGAATCCCCCGATGCCTCGGGGTCCATCGTATTCTGCGGAGTAAGCGCCGAGTGGGAGGCCACTGCCCCCCCTTCCCCCAACATCCGGCGAAGCCGCGGCAGATGGAGCAAGAAAAGGCCGAGCAGAAAAGGAGGTGCAGCGGACCATGACCTTCCATTTGCTTAAGAATATTTGGCCGTGGGTCAACACCAATGGTACCATTTTGGGGTGGGTGCACCACCCATTCTAGTCTATTTTGGTGGGGATTGGGATGTTCACTGAGGGTACGAGGTTTTGACCCATAGCCATTTTGGAATTTCCCCTATAGATTTTAAGGGAATCGAATCACTACTGGAATTTTCACATCTCTTTAGGGGGCTAAAGCAAGTGGAAGATGTGGAAGTGACGTGAGATTGAGACCCCCTCACATATATTTCCCTTCTAAGCCAGTTTCAACTTCTCACAGTTTGCTCGACACCCTGGTGGCGATGGAACAAGGGAAAATGTAGGGACACCTGCTCAACCAGTCGTTCGGAGGTCAAAAGTATGTTTAATTATTGTGCCTAGCCAGAAGCATGACATGAGAGCGTGGGAATTAGTGGCCCGGAGCTTGTCCAGCGCCCGCATCAACCAATTTTGGGGTGGGGGTCCCTTCAACCAAATATGGGAGGGGGTTGGGTTGGGTGGCCATCAAGACTTGAGTCATTTCAGACATTTTGGGCCAACCCACTCGGGAAATCCCCATATACGACATGTTTTTGTTCGGCGTGCCCATGATGTGCGGCTGACCATTGACCATGCCCAACTGTGTTTTGCGAAAAATACCCATAGCTGGTCTCCTTCTGGCAAGCGTTGGTATTTATTTTGTTTGTATTTTGGTGTGTGTCAGTATAAGGGCCCAAATCGTGGTGCTCCTTGTCCATTTGGAGGGGTCTGGAGTATACGTCGTTGGGCACGTCGTTCACGTCGCTGGGCTCAAACAGTTCCCCTGGTCGTTTTCCGTTTCCTTCTCAAGCTGTTTGCAGGCAGGGCCGTCCCAATTTCCCTACCCCAGAGGGTCCCTTGGTACCTTCTAAGGAGGTACTTAGACCCCTTTTGACCCCGCTTGACCGCCATCCTCATCAAGTACTTGGACCCTCTGGGCACTAGTCCCACCCGATCCGCCAGATCCAACTGCGAAAACTGCTGCAGCAGCTTGGCCCGAGCCTCGGAGACGATGTCCGAAGAACACGAGGGAGGCTCCCTTTGCTGAAGCGGCTTGTACTGGAAACTCATGGAGCTAGCTCTCTCCTTGACTGCTATTGGGTTGGATCTTTAGACTTTAACTTTTTGGTTGAAATCAAGGGGTTTTCCACTAAACCCCCAAAAAGATAAACTTTTTGCAGGGGGGTCAACAGCAACCAAGCCTCTAAGAATGACTGGAGGATAGAAGTGGGCCGAAAGCGTGACCTGTGAATTCGGCCATTAATGTGCGCAAAGCACCTCGGTCGCGGCGTTCCGACGCTCGGAGCGGGTTTGGACGGGCCCCTTGGCACGGCCGCGCACACTGTGCAACCTTGGACATCGGTGTCCTTTTTGGTGGTTTTGGCCGAAAAATAGATGGCGATTCCTGGTTTACCTGGAGGTTTAATCATCTACCAGGGAAATCCATCTATTTCCCCCAGAAGGACACCTATGATAGTCACCTATGACCTTGAACCTTTGGCGCGCTTGGGGCGGGCTGACCCTCAAACAACTTGTAGTTGTGTTGGCACTGGGTCAAAGCCCATGGGATCCCATTTTGGGGTAGGTAAATTCACCACCCATTTTAGAACCTATTCTGGTGGGGATTGGGATGTTCACTGGGGGTACGGGGTTTTGGCCCACAGCCTTTTCTGATCTTCATTCGAGTCGAGCCTTTGCGGACTCTAGGGGGTCGACCTCCAACAACGCAGGGTTTGTCTACGTTTTTAAGCAGGCGCAACCAGCAAACGCGGGCTGAAGAGAGAAGAAGCAAGAATGAGAGAGAGAGAGAGAAGAAAGAAGATGAGCACACGAAAGAGAGAAAGAGAAAGGCCTGGCAAGAAGCAGAACAACACTGGGTCGTTTCCCGCCTCCGTGACAGCAGGGAACCTCTCCTATTCAAGAAAGAATCATTTGGAAGGTTCATTGGAATCACAGCAGCTGGTGATGCCCACATGGTTTCGAACCAACAAGAAAAACCGCGTGAATCTCTTGACCATCAAACTACCCCACAAAAATGGATCTTACCCCATGATGCCGGCAATCTCATGTTTAAGGTCCGTCGTACATACATATAAATTTATACATACACATGTTGTGTGGTTTATTTATGTTTTATTGTTATGATTCTGATCACTCAAACTTGTTTGATAATTTATTAGTTCGCTATATATATATATATATATCATGTATATGTGTGTAGGGATCAAGGGCCGGTTACCGGGACTTTCGGCGCACAGCCACATCAATAGGACACACGCAGCTAAAACCGGCGTGACCATGTTTTGTTCACGGCCCAGGCATCCCGCACACGCCGACCATCTACATGTCCAACACCGCCGCTTTGGCGAAGTTTGAAAGTGGACTCGGGTGAACGAAGGTTTTAGGCCATGGCTTTTATCTAGGTCCCCCAGTAGTGCCCTTCTCTCCCCTTTTTTTGAATTGGGAGGGTTCCCCTACTAAAATAGACTACAGGGAAAAAACAAAAAAACAACGGGAATCCTTCTTCTAACCTCTCAAATCTGGAGGACCTAGTTATGTACCCCGGTGGCCTGTAACGCCGGGTGGCGCCTTGATTGCCTCGGATTTGTGGAGTGTCTTCATTTTGGGCATGGGCCCAGGTCGGAACAGTGTTCCAGGGGCTCCTTGCGGGTGATTCTAGGGGTACCTTCCATTTCCATTCTTTCCAGTCCGAATCTTTCTAGAAAACCATCAAAAACGCTGGGGGAAATGGATCCGGATTTTTTGAAATTAGGAATCAACCCCTAGTGTGCACGAATTTGTTTTGCGAGCTCACGGATGGGCGAAACGAGCTCAATGCTAAAGCCCCACGATCTGAAGCGGCCCCCACGGGACGGGTGGGGTCCAGACAAATCTGAAGCGAGCAAAGTCTCCGCTTTGATTTGCTTTGCCTCAGCGCAAAACGTGGGTTCAGTGGATATTTTTGGGCATCCAACGCCTTTGAAAGGGCGCCTGCGGCAGGGTGATGTTTTTCGGGGGGGTTAAGGGGTCAGAAGCTATCCTGGCAAGCGAGCATACGAGGTGAAACCACCAGAAGATATCCCCTTATTCCAGATCTGGTTATAATTGAAATTCCAAAAAGGACAGAACTCATGTAGGTCAGGTGATGTCACATCCTCTGCCCTCTATAAACCAACCAATGACCAACAAAAAGACTCCAATCAAAACTCAAGCTGCCAACAACACAATGCACCCTTTTCTTGGCATGGTCCCTGGGGTGAGGGAGGTTTAGACCAGTTCACCCCTTCTTTTTGGGCAGCCCCGGGCGTTTGAGAGCCGGCAGGACCCCAACATCTTGCCGCACATCGACGCCCAGCCCACCTTCGCGCGGGCCCAAAGCGAGCGAGCGAGACTCGGCGATCGACCTGCATCAACCAATAAGGACACCAACACGGGAGGGGCATTGTTCTATTGGTTGATTCCTTGCCCGTTTCTTTTCAACCATCCTTCTTTGCAAAAACCAGCTGTTCATTCTGGGGTTCTGATGGTTTTCTGAAAAGATTCGGATCCCTGGAAAGAATGGGCCCCTAGAATTGTTTGATTTGTCCAAAGCCTCTGCCTCTAGCACCCAGCTTGGATGTGTTTCCGCATGTCAGGGTTCTGCTGGCTTCATGGAATGCACGGAGGGCTACCCAACTCCGGCTTAGCCACAATCAAAACCCGGGTAGATGAAGGTTAGTAAGGGACGATCCCAACCAGAAATAGCTGCGGCCGCCTTCTTAATCCTGTACATTGTTCTGGGTAGGCCATTTTAGTACCAGGTTTTGATTGCGACTCGCTTGAGGAAACCTCTTTGCAAATTTGGTCAAGACGGGGTGCAAGACGGGCCATGACGCGGAACCGACAGGAACTCACTTTTCTCAGTTGCTCAAAACCGACCTTTCAAGCTTTTGGGTTGTCCATTTTGGTCTACTTTGAGTAGAAGTGGCAAAAGGTTCACTTCTATGTATAGATCCTTTGGGCGAGCGAGTTTTGGCTGGTGGCATTTGTGCTTGACCCCTTCCCGTGTAAAGGGGTAAATTGCACGAGAGGTGGGGGCAGAGAAAGTATGATTCGAGCATTTCGATGCCTTTGATTCGGCAGAGCTTGGTCAGCTTTTCTAGGGGTACCTTCCCCATTCCTCTAGAAAACCTTCAGAAACCCAGGGAAACGGCTGGTTATTGAAAAGAACGATGGTTGCAAAGAGTGGTTGGAATCAACCCCTAGAGCTTTTCAAAGCCAGCCGGTCGGGTTTCAAACTTCGGGTGCCTAGACCTGAAAGATGGCGGCTCGCCTCTACGGGAAAAAAGGATACGGGAAGTTCACTCATATGGCTGTGGGTCAAAACCAATTGTACCATGTTGGGGTATGTGCAGCACCCGCTTTAGTCTATTTTAGTGCTTGGATTGGGATGTTCACTGGGGGTACAGGCGTTTGACCCATGGCCAGATACCAAACGCTAGGAAATTGCAGTTTCTTAGAGTGATCCCGTTGCAAAACCCCGTCGGACACGTGGGCGGACAAAATGACTTGAAACCTTTGATGTCCGATGTTTGTTTGGTGCATTTTGCCCAGGGCTGTTAGGACTGAGCAACTTTTTGATCCAACTCATGGGTTTTCCGAACTAAACCACTAGAAGTTAGTCACTTTTAGCCGGGGAGCAGATTTCGCAACCGAGGTCTGTTCGGAGGAATCATGGCCTTTTCACCCAAAGAATCCACACTTTGGCTCCGCGGCTCTCGTTGCATGAGGGTCTTCGAATGGATTCCCGGGATTTCCGGGCAGCCCCGTTGCCGCCATGGGGAAAGGCTGAACGACGCCGGGAGAAAGGCTGGGTTTTTCCTTTCGCTTGGCGGAGGTGCTTTCCGGATCTGGATTAATTACCAGGGAACCCCCGAAGGATTCCTCCGAAATGTGCCCAAGATGGATGGGGTGTGTGCCTTGCGTCATCCTTAGCCCTTGGTTATTGGTTGATCACCTTGCTGTGCCAATGTGGGAAGATTCCCATAGCAACTTTCTGACCTAGGAGATTCGCTTAGCACAGGCACCCCTCTCCACGTTGACTCGGAACCCACCGATCAAGCCCGATCCCTGTTAAAGGAAGAAATGTTCCAAGCCAGGAACCCCCCTTGTGAGGTTCCATGTTTGCATAGGAGGCGAACACCCAAAAGTGGCTGCCTCCGTTTTTTGCCGGACCCCCCCAAAAAATGGGGTGGTGTTCCTTGTTCCTCCTGGTGTCCCTTTGAAAGAACCAGACAAGTGGGCACAGAAGACGCGCGCAGACTTCAGGTGGTGAAGCCGAGCCACATGACGGAGAGCGAGCACGTGGTGGTGGTGGAAGACGTCGGGGGCCCCAACCGTTTCGCCGAAGCTTTGACTAAACCACTCTGAGGTATGTGTCAAAGGGATTTGGGCTGAACATTGTTGTGTTTTTGCCGGTTGGCTTCTCTTTATGCCAAAGGCAGGGGCAGCCTTCAGATTTCATACACCTTCTACCCTTTAGGTGGTTGGCTCAACCGAGTTTCATGAGCTTTGGGAACTTCTCCGTAAAACCGTCGTGGCCTTGGTGGGACCTGATCTGATCATTTGACGTCTGCTAGCCTCCCTCCCGGGTTGGGAATCCCGCAAGGGGGTCTAATGTACCTTGTACTCTAGACTTGGCTGTTTGCCTGTGTTCTCCTTCAGTTGGCTCGAAGTTTGGTGTGTCAAAGCCCGATTCTTTGTTTGGAGAATCGGTTGGACAGTCCCAGCACAGGTGTGGCAAAAACGCCCCTGATGATTTCTTATCCTTCAGTACCAGGTTTAAGTTCACTCGTTTGCATAGGCGTCCTTTTGATCGGCTAGTTTGGTCAGAAATAATTAAGTTCCACTGCTTTAGATTGGTTTGCCCCTTGTACCAGGGAAACCTACCAGGGAAACCCATTTGGCACCAAACGGAGTCCCGCAGACATTCGCGGCGATGTCCCTTTGGTGCCAGTAAAACAGCGTGCAACAAGAGGGTTTGGCGAGAGGTTTGAGCAGGATTCAAGCATCTTGGCTATAGGGTGCTAGCGCAAAACCCGGATTGCTCAACCCCCAGCTTCTTGATATGGTGGGTGTTCCCCTGAAAAGCCGTGATTCTCAAGCCCAGGGTCACCTCTACAAATATGTTGGGGGTGTCTTCGAGATGTCCTTTGAAATGAGCAGCGCTGAGCTTTGAGCCAAAAGGGTTGCCACAGAGTACCATCCGATCAACGGGACTGCGGGCCTTTGGTTTTGGAAGCCAGGAAGATCCAGCACTAGGGTGATTTGTGTCCTCCTTTTTTTGTTCAGACTGTGTGAATTAGAGCAATTTGCCCAGATGCATTGCCTGGGTTTGCACCGCAGAGTCAGAGCAAGGGTGCCAAGTGTAGACTTGGTCCAGGGAGGTGATAGTTCCTGGCCAGGTTTGGGGGGCTCAGCGCCTAGATCTTGATCCACTGTCAGCACATGCAACCCTATGGGTTGGGCGCCCCTTCGAATTTACACGACCGCAGTCGGGCACCTGAAGCCTATTATAGAAACCTACCATAGATGCCGCAAAATGGCTGGAGAAGCCCGTCCTGCGGATTCAGTTTTAAGTTGCGGCCAGTCTCCCCAAACCCGGCGTTGAATTGATCCCACGAGCCACGAACGAGTCCCCCGCAGGGGCGGTACAGCTTCGACGTCTTCTCCAACGGCGAGCTGCAGAAGTTGAAGGGCCAGGAGGTGGACAAGGCGAAAATTCGGCGAATTTGGCGGGGGGGGGGAGGTTGGTGCGAGCCCTTTTACCGTTTCTTTTTTCAGGGGAGGGCTCCCCTACTAAAATAGAATACAGAGAAGAAAAAAAAAGGGGGGGGGAAAGAGAAAAAAACGTATCCTTATTCGAACCTCTCCACTGAAGGACCTAGCAAATCTTCTGCGGCAATAGCAGGCTTCGGTCAAATGAGTTCGAATTGCGGAAAGGAAAGGTTTCTCTCGAAACGGGAGGGCGCCATGAATCAACCTGGGGTTGAGTAATTGTGGGTGTTCGTTTCTGAGTCTGGAGGCTGGATCAATGCACATCACCCAAAACCACCCATGGATCATTGCCAGATTGAATTAAGTGTTATGGCCTTTTGCGTTTCCTTCACACAGATAACGCTTGCAGGGCCCGGTCCATACATCTGGCCCAGGGACGTCACTAAGCTGTGGTGGCACAAACGCGTCACCTCTTAGGCCAATGCTGAAGAGCGCGGTGATATTTCACGAGGACCTTGCCAGACTCATCCATTTTGGTATGGGCCTAAGTCAAACCACCAGGGCACCAGATGTTTGTGTCGTGTTTTTCCCCCATTTACCAGGGTTCCGTTTTCAGCACCTTTGTTTGACCCGCAGCCATTGTGCAGTTGCTTCTTTCTAGTCTCTGTCAAGGCGCTGGAAAACCCTTTGCGGATTGAGCTTGTGCACAATGTTCCCAGAGCCTCTCCCCACACGCTAAGTGGGTCCCGAGGTTGGGGAAGCCTTATGGTTTTTCAAGGCGGGTACCAACTCCATAAAAAAAAGTGGTGGTTTTCCTTACGGGTTGGGGGGGGAGAGAGTTTTCCTTTTCCCTTGCATTGTTTGGGGGAAAACACACAAAACAACTATTCCAAAAGGGGGGATAACAAAAGAAGAAGGCAGACCCAATTTGCGTCTGGGCAATTGGATCCCTCAGGCTGCCCTGCAGCGCCGGGTGGCGGAAGCCTGGAATCTGCGGCTCGAAGGAAGTCACGGGGGTCCGAGGGCTTTCCTTACAGAAAGCGAATGGACGGGAGACCTGTTGATTTCGACCGGTTGGAGGTCAGAATCCGAGCTTGTTGGTCGTTTGGGCTCAATTTGGCTGTGGTTGTCAAAACCGTTTTGGGATCCCATTTTGGGGTATGTGCACCAGCCATTTTAGAACCTATTTTAGTGGTTGGATTGGGATGCTCACTGGGGGCACGATTTGGCCCATGGCCATTTGACCTTTTAGCTTCAACCTTAACATGGTCCCAGAAGGTGAATTAACCCTTCTGGTTCCAAGGTCAGACAGCCGGTGAGCTATGGGAGAGCCCGATTGAATGGCAGATCGCAGTTTTTTGGGGGGCGGCGGGGGGGGGGGGGGGGTGGGGCGGGCAATCCTTGTTTGAGAAACACCCACATGTGAGGCGCATGTGTGGTTTTGTTTTTTTCCTGCTGGCTCTTGTTCTTGCACGTACTCCGTTCAAAGATGTTTACAAACCAGGCATGGATCCTCGAAAGCCGCATCCAAACCGGCTTTTAGATCAAGAACAAACCCCTCTTGTTGGAAGTCCTGACCTGATTCAGCTTGCCTTCGTTTGTGTTCCTTCTCATTTTGACTTGTGTTTTTGCTGTTAATGCGTACAGCCAAAAGGTTCCACAGGCAATGAGGTCCAGAGAGCCTCTCGTCGAGGTGTATCTTGCGAACTCGCATGGAACCTCACCGGGCAGTCCTAGAAGTGTGTCCTTTAAGGGGGCCCTTGGCAACGTGGTTGGCAGTTGGCACCCTGTTTGGAGCAGTTGAAAAGGAAGAAATGCAGGGCCCCGGCTTTGCAGGCCCAGCACTTTTCATATCCATCCGATTCCTGGCCCAAAGAAATGAGAACCCACGCGAAGAATACTTTTGACTAGAACAGATGCTAGAAAAGATGTGTTTTCTTGTCCATTTCACCTCAAACCCATCGAAGCCGGCTCTTGGCATCAAAACAGCTGGGACAGTGGCACTGGCAGTGCCGCCCCGTGTTTTGACCTGTGCTTTGACCTCCCTTTTACCAGGTGTGCCAACAAAAAGCCCAACCCCTAGGGTTCAACCGTCCCCCATCAAAAAAAGGCAAGGACCCAATTTGGATGATGACAATGGTGGTTATATGAGCCCCCATGGCTTTAATGGTGGTTTAAATCGCAGGGTGGACATGTTGAGCTGCACCTTCCCCGGTGTTTTGGCCCAAGAAACCGCCTCAGGTCCGCCTTCGCTTGGGAGTGCCAGGCGGCGCGGGCACCCAAGACCAAGTCCAAACGAAACCCGGTCCAAGCCAAAACTCATGGCCGGGAGGGAGCCCAAAGCCCCTACGCCTTAGTTAATCCAAGGGGGCTGGGGGGGAGGGAGGAGCTAGTACGGCTTCGGGTTTATATTTAGGGCTTAGTTGGGTTCCCCCCCCCTCCTTGCAGAATTCAGTTGCATACATGATGTGGCAATCTCAGCCCCTCAACTTCTTATACACTGCTTGCGCTGTGAACCAAGCAAACCACACTGACCAAAAACAAACAAAGAAAGCCACCGTACCCAAGAGAACTGTGCAGAAAAACATGATACACCAGCAAGGTCAAAGAAAAAGACATCGGTATTGGCCGCAAGAAATGTAAGGCCCACAACCACCATGTTTAGAGGTGCAAATATATTTTTTGAGGGAAAAACGCCCTTTTGGGTGTCTTGTTGACCTGCAGGTTAACGTGGAACGCCATCCATCTTTTTGAGAGGAACGTTCCTTTGGCTCACTTGCCGAAACCAAAGACCGGTTGACCCTTTGCTCGCTTGTTCAAGCCTTTTTTGGGAGGCGGGCAATTACTTTAGAGTCAACTACGACCACAAAGATGCCCTTTGTCTTTCCCCATGGCCATTTGGGGTCTGGGATTTTTGGTTTGGAAGGAAAATGCACGCTTGAACATGCTGGCAAAACCTCAACATTCCTTGGCCGCACGAAGATCCCTAGGAGATTCCTTTCAACCTGTTTCCCGGTGTCTGATTTCTTGTCATTTCCTTCAGAAGCAAAACCTAAGCGACACGGATGCAGTGGCGCCATTCATCTTTTCCTTTGGGGGCGCGGGACCATTCGCAGGAGCTTTCTTCATGAAGGACCCATTCGCTTGGAACCCGAACCCCTACAAGAATCTCCTTTTGGGGATCTCTTGTTGGGTAGAATCTAATTGCCAAGAGAAAAGCTCGTCATTTGTCTTTAAGTTCGGTTTTGCAGAGACTGCAGTCGAGACATTCCAGAACCCCCCTCCCCCCTCTCTGGCTGGCGCAAACTTATTTGACCTGTACCCGTTAGGCACAGCTGGGATTTCTTTCAGTGGCCATTCCCAAGGAGAAACCTTTGGAAGTTGACTGTCCATTTCTCACTTGCTCAGTGTGGACTTTGAACATTTCGAGAAGATCAGCTTCGTGGTAACATACCAAGTCCGGACTTTCTCGAATGAATCCACTCAGGAAGTCAGATTCATGTCGTTGGTTGTGGTTTTCCAGGATCCACCTGACGATGTAATTTGAAGGGCAACGTTCTCAAGGCATGCCTTTTGGTTTCGGCTGTTCGGGTATGCTTGGCTTCGATGACTTTAAGGGTGGAGAAAGAAAAACAAAATGTAAGTGATGCCACCCAAAAGTCCTTGTTCAGATTCGCAGGCACGCGATCTCAGCTCCCTCACCCTCCCCACAATGACTCCCTTACCTTTGTTCTTCTAAAGCAAGGCAAACTCACCGGCTTACACTTATTTCTCCCCAGCAGCTTTTCAGCTATGGGGGTCTCTGCCCAATCACTGGAGTGAGCAGGAGCAACTTCAAATGCTCCGATGAAAAGCTCCAGGGGCTGGGGCCACCCTGGGCAGAGATTGTTTTTTGTTTTTTAGGTCAGTTTGCTTAGCAAATCGAGCTGTTCCACTGGGTTTAGATGGGTTGTATGCCAGCCAGTTTCCAGACAAAAAACCATCGATTGTGCAGAAAGAAAAAAGAAGTACCTATATCACCGGGCTTTGTGTGCTCCAATTGTTTATTAAAAAAATCCAGCTGGAACCCCCATCCACTTGTTTAGCTTGGTGTTGGGCGCCAGGTTTTCAGGAGAACCCCTCCATTTTTCGACCAAAAACAACCTCATGGCCACCGGGGCTACTTGCCTTGGCAAGGTCTTGGCGGCGCGGCCTGGCGTGATCGCCCGGCGCTCGTTGGTGCGAGCGTCCGGAGATGTTCCTTTTTGATCAGAGGACATAGGGAATAAGTACATGGATGTACATGGCTTCCGTTCAAAAAGGCCGGCTAAGGAGCTATATACAGTATGTGCATAGTTCCTGTTGCATCTTGCCTTTTCCTTTTCGAAATGAAGCGGGCCCCCACCTAAATCATGCAAATCTCACTGGCAGCGCTAGCTTCGCGCTGGCTCGGCGCCAGGTCGGGGACGTTAGTTGACGTGGCATGTGAGATGCGCACGCGTGGCCCCTCTGTCCGGTCGCTCTCAGGGCTCGAGGCATTCCTGGCTCGCAAAGTCTTACCATGTGGAGAGTGGAGACGAAGTACTATTTGACCTGACCTGCAAAAGCGCTGCGCCTGCCACCGTGACCTTGCGAAAGCGCTGCGCCTGCCACGATATGTGTACGCGACCTTGCGAAAGTACCGCGCCTGCCACGATATCTGTACCTGACCTTGCGACACGTGACCCTGCAAAAAATGTGAAAACATGTGCAGCTTTTCGCTCTAGCTCCGCGCTAGCACCGCGCTAGCAGGCAGTTGCCAGCTTGAACTTGAACACGGCACGTGCCTTGTTGGAGGCACGACCCACGAAGCCACTAGCCCGGATAGCTCGTCCGACAGCAGCTAAGAAAAGGCCCGCGCTAGTGCGCCTGTCAGTTATTTGTACGTTTCTTAGTCAAACTTATTGCGCCACAATGATTACGTGTTCATACGGCCCGAATGATACGGGCCCCCACGCCACAAAACTGTGAACCAATGGGGGGGGGGGGGGGGTGAAGGGGAGTGGGGGTTGGGGGGGAGCGGGGTGGGGAAGTTGACATAAACTGATGGGTTTCCCTGCCCAGCGCTTAAGCCCCGCGGGAATGGAGAGCGGCGCGGACGACGATGCCCCGCAAGCGGCGGGGGATAAGACCGGCAGGAAAGGGGAGCGCGCGTTCGCAGACCTATTTTGCCGGCGCCCTCCGTGTAAGCCCTGCCGGACGAGAAAGACAAATCCAGCTCGTGCGAAACCTCAACCCAAACGAAGGCTGCCAACCGCAACGAGAATAGCGGGTCGCGGATCACAAGTAGGCCTCCGTGAATTCTGGGAGCGGCGCCCGCTTAGGTCTTGAAGCACGGAGGAGCAGGAAGCGGGGGCTGGAGTTGCGTTTTTGGTTTTTAAGTTTAAGCCCGCCTGGGCAGTTCGGAGAACCCGCGAGCGCGAGGGGAAGCGACAGACCACGCGAGATAAAAGAGCGGCAGATCGGGGCCAGCGCCAAGAAGCGTCAACCCCGAGCCAAACGCGCTCTGAATGATTGAGTGAGTCCCTGAAAGCTGTTCAAACGGAAGCTGGAAGCTCTGGCTCCAGCGATCCCAACAGAGTGGCCCGACCCTCCTAGAAACAATGGCAACCCCCATGCCTGCGGCGGCCTTCCGACGCGGGCCGAACGACCCCGTCAGCGCGGGTGGCCTAGCGCTACAGGCAGCCAGCCGATGTGCGGCAACGCCTTCGCGCCGAGGTGACCACCCCACGCCTGCAACTCCCAAGCGGGCCGCGCCCGAGCGAGGCACGTAAGACAATCCAGAATCGCGCAAGCCCCGCAAGTCAGGTGTGCGACGAGCTAGCCGGCTGCCGCTGCGCGGCGTGTCGCTGCTCCGTACCCCCGGGCCGGGCGGCGCTGCGGCAGACAGCGGGGGCTCTGACGCTTTCCGGCCAAGCGCAGGCGCGGGGCGCGCAAAGAAGGAGCAGTGGACCGTCTCCAGCCAAGGCAAGCGCGAGTGAGGACGCCGTCGCAGGCACCCATGCGCCGTATGGACAGGCGCTGGAGGACCTGCTGGCATCCAGAGCCCAACAGCTATAGAGGAGCAGCCCTGAGCCACGTTACGATGTGCCCGGGCTTCAATGGGATAACATCGTGCTGGCAGCACAAGGAGCGGAATTTGCACATGCCTGCACATTGCCCCTGAACAAGCCTTTCATGGCAAAAGGTAGTGTTGTCATGCGGGACTTGCTCGTTTGTCCATGTGGCTTGACCACTGCCACTAGCAGAAAGAAATGCTGAATAATGTGCACAACAAACAGTTACAACCCTTAAACAGTCAGGAGGGCCCTAAAACTAAACAACAATCCATTACTCCGGTACATTCACAACCTTGCGAAGTGCCGAAACTCAAACTGCAAGCCGTTGTATGACTTGATCACGCACCCATGGTCGGACTGGATCATGCACTTAGGGCTCAAGTAAGGTGCTGGCGCAAGAGTTCTTGAGCGCGCGAAAGCAGATCTTGGATACAGCTGGTACTGCGGTACATTCACCTCAGTGGGTGTGCCCTGCCCAAAGAGAAAGCCATTCGAATCTACGTGAACAATTTCCGCCAGCGCCAGGCAGGGTGGCGACACCAATGAACTTCCTGGCTGCAGGCCAGGGAATGCTTGAAAGCAATATCTGCGGGTCAACGCGGACTGCGAAGTCTTGGCCCAAGCTCGCAGACGGGGACGATCGCAACCAGCTGACAGGGGGAACACGTGCACTTAGCAATGTGCTCCCCGAGGCTGATCCGCAGCTTGTCTTAGCGCGCGTGCCTCTGCGCGTGTGTGTGTCTGCATGCGTCTGGGAGTTTGTGTCTTGTCATAGTTTGCGCGTGTGTCATGCCCCAAAAAATCAAAGCCTGGCTTCATCTTGGAACAGGTTGTTTCGTTAAAAAGAAAAAAGACAGGTGGGGTTTTGCGTGTGTTTTCGGGCTCACATGTTTCCCACAGCGGTATTCGAGCTGGTCCCCTTTCAGGTCTAGTTTGCTCGTCCTTGTGCAAACAGAGCTACTGGAAGATCTGCGATGATGGAGCTTATCGTCTGGTGAACAATGGCTTCGCGGTAGTGTCGTTGGGCGTGATTACCAAGAGCTTGGTGGGGTGGGGTGGGGTGGGTGGGGTGGGGTGGGGTGGGGTGGGGTGGGGGTGGGGTGGGGTGGGGTGGGGTGGGGTGGGGGAGTTAGTGGTGACTTCTCCCGCCGTCATACTGCGCATTTTGTCCCCACGCCACCCGCCATACTGCGCAAAATCCCACCCATTGAATTAATAAATATCCCAAATGCATTGATACAATCATCGCAAAACAAATGTATCAACCCATTTACTCCTCAACTCCTTGTGACTTTGCTAATTCACAATGCCTTTTCGATCCATTATGGCTACACTTGGATGTTTTCTTTGCTAAAAATACTTGACAGACATCGCACCACCACGAATCGCCACGATCGGCTTCCAACTTCTCCCCGGCTTCTATCATTTGATATCGTTTGTGCCGACTAGTGATTAAATGCTTCGTCCATTCTGATTTAGCTACTTCTACTTTGCAAAGATCACAAAGTCGTTTTTCTCTCTTCTGTTCTAAAATCTCGTCCCTATGATTGACATAATACTTATGACATTTCTCCGCCATTTTCTCGGGATTATTTTGTTGATAAGTCTTAGCAGTAGAAAGGCAATAATTACATACTTTTCTCCCATCCTTGAACTCTCCTAGTTCTTTCTGTTTTCTGCACCTACTGCATCTCTGTAAGTTTTCCATACTACTATTTACCATCATGTCTTTAAGTGTCTTCTAACTGCGTATTTTCTAAGCTCTCCCACCGCCATACTACATAAATTATCACTCCCCAAAAAATGGTTAACCAATGGAAAAGGGAGAATTAAAACCGTTAACCCAAATCTTGAAAACAATCCCAGTAAAATATGGATGGCAAAATGCGGATGGGAAAGGCCTATGTAGGAAAGCACCCCCACGGCTTATGCGGGAAAATTAAACTAAAATTACAACATATAAGATCTTATATGTTGTAACTATAGTATAATCAAGAACTGAAACATTCATCTCAATAATAGCTAGCCGTGCTTTCATTATCGCTAAATTCTTCATCCTCGTCATAGAAGTCTTCCGTGCTTAATATATGATAAAATCGGATATGCCATTCTGCCTCTGTTCTGAATGGCATCATTTCCAACAGTGCTCTCATTGCGTCGTAATAACCAATTCTCAAGTGTTTTCTTTTGTCATCAATACTATCAATGAACCAGAGCTGTTTAAATTTATTTTCAATATCATATATGTAGGAATAATTATAGAACGCTTTCAATTCTAAATATATTTCATAATGAGATTTGGTATCATCCAATGCTTCAGTTAAAGTCATTGCCCAGAATGGGTTTCTTTTTACTCTTTCCCAAGTTGGAAAATGGTTTTTAAGAATATCATTATACCTGTAAGGACATATATCATAACAGTGATATGACATAATATTCAATCTAATTTCCAACGGTAGATTATTAATGTCGCGCATACTTTACTTAATATATTAAGGTAATATTTCTTTAAGCACTTTTTTAGAGAAACTATATATATATATTTATAGAAATATTTTTACCACTATAATTATAACATATAAACATTTATATGTTATTATTATATTATGATTACAATTTCAGTACAGGATAATAATTTAATTGACAAATATTACTTCTTTCATACATCATTTTAAAAATAATATTAATATCTCTCACTGTATTTTTAACATTAAACTTGTTATAAATTTCAATATAAAATTTAATATATTCTTTAATATCTTGTCCTTTCTTTTGACTATGACACAACATCAATAATATACCAGCAATCATTACATATTTTTCTTACTGATTTTAAGAAACTGTTTAACATATTCATAAGGTGGTAATTTATTTACAGTTAGAAATATTAAAATCTCATCTTCTACATTTCTATTATGTCTTCCTTTTAATCTCAACAAACATTTGATTATAGCTTGGTTATCTCTCCAGGTTTTACAATTTTCGCATACATCTTCTTCACCCATTGAATAATCAATAATATTATTTATTATTCCATTAGGCAAATTTAATTTATACAATTCCATATTTTCTTTTTTGAAGTGACAACAATCATGGCATTTTTTATTGATATAATTATTGATTTTA